ACCAAAAGAAAAGCTCTCTGGGATTTTAAAGTTGGGAAATTGGTTCAAGGTAATAATACAGTAAAAGACTTTTATTCAAAACTAATAGAGTGCAGCAAAAGCATGAGCTACCATAAAGAACGGCTCAAATGGCTATTTTTCAAAGGATTATTAACTGAGAATATGTTTAAAGTTCTTATAGATGGTTTACAGATGCTTGCGTTAGATGAGAAAACCTATTCTGATACTAGAATCTGTAGCACACATGGTGGAATTTATAAGAATGCCTATCGTGAGGGTAGAAAAAATAAAATGAAATCTGCAGATAGATATGATATGTGAAAAATATATAGTCATAGGACCCCCATCCCAAGGCTATGAATGGTCTAATACCTAGATGATAATTCTTAGTAAAATGTTCGTGCTAGAGCTAAAATATGCTCTGGTTCTAAAGCATTTGTTTTGGTGGATGCATCATATAAAGCACCTGGTCTATATTTTGATAGAGTTAAATTCAGGTGATAGAGGAGATTTATAAGCATGTCGCTTCTCCAAGCTTTTGTCTCTTTACGCTCCTAAGTTATTCCTAATAATAGTCGACATAAAGTAAAATTGTGCCAATTAGCTTTGAGTAAAATTTGTAATAGGCTTATTTTTTCGTTAACCACTGCTAGTAAACTTTTTTCCATTACGATACTCCAAATACAGTAGGAAATGAAAGAAAGATATCTTCTTAATATTGGCAATTCATGCAAAGGCGGAATTAAAAGCCTTTCTTCTCTCCAATGCATATAGCCTTCGAGTACCATTTTATTATATACTGACCCATTTATAGTTATCATGCGATTAGATTTGGGGTTATATATTTTTTCGTGAGCTTTTTTCTCGTGCTTGCACTCTGTTTGTTGATCTAATATATCCATAGCGTTAGTATGAAAAGATAATTTATCTCATTATAATACCGATTAATTTAAATACATATTTTATTATGATATTAAAAGTGAAAGAGGGTTTTATATTCTGAAATACTTATATGGCCTCCTTTACTTGTCCATATATTAAGAGGGATGGTACTGTTTGTGAAAATAATTGCTGGCTCCCTACAGGATGTTATAGACACTCGAAATTATATGAAAAGAATTTGAAAAAAAGTCCTTGCCTTTTTAGTGGTTGTGTATTTCCTACTGATGCTGATTCAGGGTATTGTTACGACCACTCTGCCAGTATTCATTCGAACAATTATCAAATGAGGCAAAAACGTAAGGCTGAGGCTAAGGCTCTTCAACTCGCAAAGACTTCTGAATTGTCTGTCGAGTGGTGAGCAAAAAATATTATTAGAGCTTAGAACCAGTATAAAAAAACATGAAGGCTTCTCTAGAATTATTATATAAAATATTAGGAGAAACCTTCATCTTAAAAGTATGTACCCTGGCTGGAGTATAGTATATTTACATTAATATTTCATCAGGCGAAAGCTCGCTATAGCCATACTGAGTATCTTTTTCATCTACTCAGTAAATTTCTTTTCTTGTTTGGTATAGAGATAATGCGGGGGCATCTTTACTGTCAAAAGACCCAACTAGATGGTAATGTTTACCATTCTTATCTATAGCCTTAAATTTCAACCCGTACATTGCATGTAGTGCTGAATTCAGTAAGCCTAGCTTTGCTCGAACTGTTATTAAGCCTGATTTTTTAGTACTGCGTGATGCCTCTGTGTTATCGAATACTTGAACCATTTTGGGAACTAAATCCTGAAGATATGAAATCGATTCAGGAGTATTCAAACACCTTTTAACATCATCGGTTTTATATCTCGCCCTATCATCGATATCTTTAGCAGGTGTACAGATTTTTAGTAATTCTAGACAGATTCGATGCTGCTTAGCTCGAGTTGCGATTGTGAGCCTATCTTCTTTATAATCTTTATGGGAAATAGCCTCAACAGCCATTTCATTGTCAGTACCAGCATCTCGTAACTGCCTATAAGCTCTGAACTATCTCATATGATTAAAATTCCATACTTTAAAATGAAATCTTCGGTCAATGATTCAGGAGAAATCTCATAACAATCCACAATATGATGCTGGTCTAAAGAGCGCATCTCTTCTAAAGTCTTCTTTGGTTTATTCTCCAATAATTCAGCAGTCTCACGATCGACAATAGTAGCATTAGATATAAAGATGGTACAGCAATTGATTTCAAATTTACAAAATGTTGCAACATAAGCTAAAATTAGTTGCAACATATGT